CAACTAAAAAAGGCATAGAAAGAGTAAATATATTAAATAGTTATATTTAACTATAGATTTAGTTACTTGTTTGTGATAAATGCATTAGTTAACTACTAATCGTGAGCATGGCTACTATCAGATAGCATCCCTGCAGAACAGCTTCATTTGGATACAAAACTGCCAGTTGCCTCTCCAGTCCTAGAAATATTTCAAAATAGCTTCTCTACCCAGAAATTTAAGAAAATGTGTAGAAGAGAGATACTTCCTCTTTTGTTGAATCCTTCTTAAATGTAGCACCCACAACCTGACACAATACTTCATCTGTGGTTTGACCAAAATGAAATAAAATGCAACAATTACTTCCCATAATTTAGAAACTGCTTCTGCTGATGGAGCCTAAAGTTAACATTTTCCTGTTGTGTAGCCATCCTACATTGTTGACTTATTTACAGTCAGTGCTATTCTGAGATACATTTCAGAAGTAATATTAGCAAACCAGATATTCCCCATTCTTTCATGTGCCCATTTCTGTTTCTTAATTAAACTTTCTTAAGGAATAGGCTGATGACTTGCTTAGGAACCAAAATTGAGAAATTGCACATTTTGTTCTATGAGTTTTAGCCCATTTCTTTAATTTACCATAAGTGCTCTGAATTCTTACTTCTACCTTAAGACACCTTCCAACTGTTTTATGTCATCTGCAAATTTGATGAGCATTTCATCCTCTTCTTCATCAAAGTCACGAATTTAAACAAAAATTGAAAATCATAATCTGCAGGACTGAATCTTTTACCATCCTGAAAAATTCAATCGAATGAAAAACCATTAATGAGCAGTTAAGTACAAGTTTCAGGTGGAATTGAAAGCGCCGGTTATTATCTATAAAACCTTATGTGGCATAGTACCAGGTATTTGAAGGATTGTCCTCGCATTGATTCTACCTGTCTATTAGGTGGGGTAGGAAAGCCACAGTTTGGGTCTCAACTGTCAGCGGAGACAGGAAATGGGCCTTTTCTGTGGTTGGGCTGCCCTCTGGAACACTTTTCCACTCGTCCTAAAAGTTTTTTTTTTTTCAAGAGGCAATCTATAGACATTTATGTTCTGACCAAGGCTTCCTGAGACCGTAATTAAGCACACGCTTAGTCCAAACAACGCTTGTTTTATTTCAACGCTGGGAATTATGTTCATTCGCATCCTGTAATGAGTCCCAAACAATCCCTCGAGATAAGCACCCACCTTTCTCTCCTTTGAATTGCTGCCAACAACTAAAGTGCCAAATTAACTGAAAAAAGTCAAACGAAGTACAAAGTCCACATAGAGCTTCAACGTTTAATCTGAACAGAGCGAACAACTTTGCTTCCTACAAAGGTTTCTCTACCTTTACACTTCCTTTATATCTTATGGGAGGAGCAATCACCTCCAAGCCTTACTCCCAAGTTGCCCCGTTTGTCTCAGCTGCTCTCGCCTTCAAGCAGCTCTGCGCACACACGCACTGGGAACAGGCTCCCCTTGTTCCTCTGCCTCACGGCTGCCGGATTCTGGAGGCTCTGGAGTCAGCACATAACTCCCAGATGGTCCTGGCCCCATCTCTACATCGGATGCGGGACCCTCGTCCGAGTCCTCCCCAGACTCACGGACTGGTCCCTGTTCTTACCCACTGTCCGATTATGCTGCCATTTGCGCAGGCTGCCAGCAAGCCACAACAATTTAGCTATGCACTTTAGGTTGAACAACTTTCAAATGGTGCGGGAGTATAAACAGATTCTCAGAAAAATGGCAGATTACAAGAACCACTTGCACTTCAGTTTGAGATGCAGACAACACAGACTCATCCCCAACAGCCTGCGCCTCCCTTCAACAGGGAAGGGACACAGGGCAGAAAAAACACCTTGCAGAAAGCACAGCTCCCAACTTCTCAGTGACTCAGGAGACCATGAGGACACCAATAAACTTCCAAGTAGCCTCAGCGACTCTCTAAAAGAAAGCAAACGGCCAGCTGTCTGAATCCTTCCGTTCCCCACTATCCAGTCAGAGCTGAAGAAGCTTCTTGGATGAGAAGCGAAACGTCTTCAAAGAAAAACAAGGACGTCCAGTTGCCTCCCGAAAAACAACCTTTGGGACAACCATGACCCGGATGGCTGAGAATCTCCATAGATACTTGCCACCTAAGGTTAGGACAGCCGCAATTTTACTCACCTTTTGAAGACCTGGCTATTTTTCCTCAGGAATTGGGGCTGGCATTTGGACTAATTGAATCCGCACTGTTGGCCCATAGTTTCTTCAGCGGCCACTTTGATGGATTAACTGAACGGTTTTAATTTCTCATCTCAACCAAATGGCTACAGGCAGTTTATAGCTCAAAAACTATCTTCCGCTGTTTGGAAAGTCTTTATTCTAATGTATTCCATCTTGGCAAGAACTTTTCCCACAGAACACGGCGTCATATCCTTGTCATCTATCAGGGGTACTTTGGTTTACCATAGGAAACTCCATGTTGGACGTTCTTCTCCACTCACTCTGTTTTGCCAATTTTTCCAGAGTGAGCAAGCTATTTCTTGCTAATTGCTAAAAAGTTGCTTTGATCTGTCTCATTTCCCCACAAACATTGCCTTAAGAACATAAGCCGTGCCTTACTGGATTGGAGCCCTAGCCCACACAGTCCAACTCTCTTGTTTTCAGTGGCCCGCTAACCGCTCAAGAAAGGCCCACTCATCTCCCAGCAGATGGGCTTCAAAGGAAGACCCCAGTTTTCATGCTGCATGAAAAATTAAACTTAGAAATGAATTCAAGCGCCTTCTCATATCAAAAACAAAAAGAGAAACCCAAATGCTACCCTATATAAACAAGTAACAGCTAAAAGCCTCAAACCCAAAGTCACGTGCTTGCTTATTTGCTCTTTGTTTATTCAGTTTGTACAGCTGCTGATCTCAAACCAGTGATTGGGCGACCAACAATCATAAAAACAAAACAGTTAAAACACAATATAATACAAAACAAAATCAAATCAAATACACACACACACACACACACACACACACACACACATATAGATATATATATCAGTGGTGGGATTCAATTTTTTTTACTACCGGTTCTGTGGGCGTGGCTTGATCGGCATGGCAGGGGAAAGATACTGTAAAATCTCCAGTCAGAGGTGATATTTGCCGGTTCTCCAAATGACTCAAAATTTCTGCTACCGGTTCTCCAGAATTGGTCAGAACCTGCTGAATACCACCTCTCGCACCGCCCGCCGCTCACACCGCCCGCCCGCCCGGGCTCCGCTCGTACCGCCCGCCGCTCGCACCGCCCGCCCGCCTGGGCTCCGCTCGCACCGCCCGCCCGCCCGCCTGGGCTCCGCTCGCACCGCTCGCACCACCCACCCGCCCAGGCTCCGCTCGCACCGCCCGCCGCTCGCACCACCCGCCCGGGCTCCGCTCGCGGCGATTCCCCAAAAAATCGGAATTCCGATTTTAATCGGAAGAATATCATGTCTGTAATGAGCAGGTTGCCCAGGTAATAATGAGCAGGTTGCATGTGCCACTGCAAGAGTGGTAAAACAGTCCAAGTGCAAGAACAGGTTACATAACTCACTTTTTTTCTAGGTCTGTCGTATCTTCAGCCATTCAATGAACAGTTGTAACTTGAGGATTATCTGCATTCACTGGAAGGCTCCCCATTATCACATATTAATGAACAAAAGACTTCCTATCCAGGGGAGATTCATAAATGTCTTTAGGATCAGTTCAGGATGGAGTGGGGTGATATGGGGATTTATTTCTGCACATTTGAAAATTGTCCTCTTTGGAATCATTATTTCTGCCTTTTTTTTTTAGAATTTTTTAGAATTGAAACAATGAACAAAAAATAAAACAAGCACGCACAGAGGCACTGAATTGACAAAAAAATAGGATATAAATGCAACTGAAAATCAAAGCTAGTACTTAACAGATAAATTGATACCTTTTTAAGATATACAAACATCTATTTGTGAATATCTAAAGGATAAAATATAAATACAAAAATTTTAAACACTCATACTCAATATTTTTAGCCAAAAGATATTTCTGTATGCAAAGGTTTTCTACTTATTAGGAAAAATGTTGTTAATATAACTAAAAATTCTGAATAAACAGATATACAAATCTTCAAAACTCTTTCTGTTGCATTCATTTATCTGTGGCAATTTCCCACCCTTCTAAATATTGCCAATAACATCCACCCACCCTTTAAAATTTAAATTCTTTGATTTCCATACTTTTGTGATAACATATCTAGCAATAACAGACACTTTGCATTAATGTTTGTTAGGGTCATAGGTGGGCAGTAAATTACGTAGGGCAGAGCCGACTGCACTTAGGAAAAGTGCTGACATGTTGCTCCTAATAAATAATTGGATTTCTTTTGAATCTTGGCTCGAGGCTCATGAATTAATTAGGGCATCCGTCGGAACCCTGACAGCTTGGATGAGAAGCAAAATGCCTTCAAAAGAAAAACCAAGAAAGTCCAGTTGCCTCCTGAAAAAGCACCTGTCATGCCCCTGGTGGAGACTGACTCTGAGGGAGAGGAGGAACAGCCGACAGAGAGTGGAAGTGTGGCTCCGGAGGTTGTGGAGGAGGCTGGGGAAGGGCAGAGTCCGGCTGGGCAGTCAGAGGAGGACCCAGGCCCATACCCTATCCATCCTAGGGCACGCAGGGAGGAGAGGATAAGGGAGAGATGTGGTCTATTCGGGAGGAGAGGACCTTGATCCTCTTCATGGGCTGCAGCTGTAACAAGAGGATGGACATGTGTACGGACGAGCGCTGGAAACAAAGCCTAGAAATATCTGTAGTTTATTGTTCCTCTCTGAGTTTGGCATCCTTCCCAGGGTGTGTTCTGTTATCTGTGGATGTCCTCCAGCCCTTATCTTGCCTGGTTTGTGTTGTTTTTTCCCCTCCTTCTTGTAACTTCTTGTGTGGGAGTTTTTTGTCTTCCGTCAAGGATATTTGGAGCTTGGAAGCAAAGTGAAGGAATAAAAGGGGCTTCATCTGTTTTTTGTGACTGTGTTTATTTGGTATCCCACCCGGGGTCATCACAGCATCTTTGGGACAACCATGACTTGGATGACTGAGAATCTCTACCAGCCTGTTGTCAGTTGAGTTACGGTATCTCTCCTACTAAGAACATTGATAGGGTCTCTTTCCGGTATGAGTTTTTTGATGGCTCTTCAGATTTCCTGCTTGCCTAAAACACTTCCCGCACTGTGAACATTTATAGGGTTTCTCTCCAGTGTGAATCATCTGATGTCTCTTCAAGTTAATTCCCGTACTGAAGCACCTCCCACACTGTGAACATTCGTAGGGTTTTTCCCCGTTGTGAAATCTTTGGTGGGTCTTCAGATATCCTGACTGACTGAAGTATTTATCACACTGGGAACATTTGTAAGGTTTCTCTCCCGTGTGAAATCTCTGGTGGGTCTTCAGATATCCCGCCTGCCTGAAATATTTTCCACACTGAGAACATTTGTAAGGTTTCTCCCCGGTATGAAATCTTTGGTGGGTCTTCAGACATCCAGCCTGGCTGAAGCACTTCCCACACTGAAAACATTTGTATGGCTTTTCTCCTGTGTGACTTCTCTGGTGTAATTTCAGGTTCCTTCTTGTACTTAAGCATTTCCCACACTGAGAGCATTCGTACGGTCTATTTTCTGTTGGACACGTTGGAATTCGCCTCAGCGAGTCTGCGTGGCTAACGTTTGTTTTGTATTCAGAAGACTGTCGAGGTTTTTCATTCTGACAGGGACTTTCTTTCCCACGTTCAAGGAATGTGTGCAATTTCTCACTGATCTGGGCTTTCTCCGGTAACCTAAATGAGGGACTAGGCCGGATATTTTCTTCTGAATTGGGACGTTCTTCATAATCCTCGCTGGAATGGATCACATCACGGTCTACTCGATAGCGGTACCTTCTGCCGTATTTGGAGAACACCGGCATTTCTTCCTTACTGGACTTACTGGTGTTTGGGATAAGGGATTCTGCACATTCATTTTTTCTCTCCTCTCTGTTTGTCCTCTGCTGGTTTTCAGACTCAGCTCCTTCCCCCTGCATTTCTGCAATCTCTTCATTCTTCCTGTAGTTTGTCTGTGGAGTTATTTTGTATTTTTCTTCCGGTGTATTTTTTCCATAAGGTGAATTCTCTTCATTAACCTCGGAGTCTCTTATATCATCTGCAGAAAAGGACAAGAGACATTTTAACCCAGGGGTCGCCAACCTTTTGGACCTCAGGGACCACCAAACTCATAATTTTAAATCCCAGGGACCATTACTATTAATTTTGACTGATGGTGGCTTGCTGACATTGGTGGGAAAGAGAGAGAGAGATCTGATCTAACCTCTCTCTCTCTCTCACACACACACACACACACACAAAGGCAGGGGTGGGATTCAAATTTCTTAATCGGTTATGTGGGCGTGGCCTAATTTGTGGGTGTGGCTTGGTGTCATGTGACTGGCTGGGCATGGCTTGTATGTAAATATTATCAATATCTATGTAAATATTGATTTATTTTTTTAATAAAAAAAGAGTAACTTTTACCCAAAATCAGACAAAGCAGGCAGGCAGATTGAGTTGCTCACAGAATCATTCAGACATCTATCTATCTGCCATAGGCTGCCTGAGTCTGTCACATAAAATTTGCTAGCAAGCTTCTGAATTTTGATCACATGACCATGGGGATATTGCAATGGTCGGAAGTGTGGGAAAGGGTCATAAGTCAATTCTGATGGGGTGCAAGGTTGACTCAGCTTCCTGCATCCTTCTGAGGTCTGTAAAATGAGGAAAGGGAAAGGAAAGGGGAAAGGAAAGGTTTGCTTCAGCAGAATGTTACCCTTCTCTATCTCCTCATTTTCTCTCTTCATAGCTTCCAGAGGTTCTTCTTTGGTGTGTAAGAAATCCATCCGCTCTTCCGTTAACGAATCCTGAAAAATGAGGGTGCTGCAGTTCAGAGTGAAAGGACTGATTTTACAGACACAAAAATAAAAATCTCACCCGTTCTCTGTTACACAAGCCCTGTTACCCATAGGCAAGGCAAGGAGATCAGGCCCCACTCAGGCAACGTTGTGGGCACGTAAGAGTCACAAAGCACCCGCAGCCCTATTTGTGCCCTTCCCACAAACATTGTGAGTTCGAACAGTCAGCAAATGAACAGTTAGATGTCGAGGGCTATACAATACAGTACAGGCAATCCTCAACTTACAACCACAACTGAGTCCAAAATTTATGTTGCTAAGTGTGAAATTTGTTCAGTGAGTTTTGCCCCCATTCAACAACCTTCCTTGGCACATTTCTTAAGGGAATCATTGCAGTTGTTAAAAGTGGCAACACGTTGTTGTTTAGTGAATCTGGTTTCCCCAGTGACTTCCCTTAAACATGAGTCATTTGCCAAGTGTCCAAATTTATAAAAGGATTGTGATGACCTGGGGCCGTGACACAAAAATAACCAAGTCACAAAAATAGAAGAAAGTCCCTTTAATGCCTCCAACTTGGCCCCAACGTCCAATTATCCTCGACTGGATATCAAACTCTTAAAGAAAACAGTTTAACGGAGGAAGTAAATGCAGTTTGCACCCAAAGTAAAGTTAATTCGAAATAAAAAATCAAACACAAACCACACTAAAGGAATCCCTATGGCAGGCAAGGATGGTTAATGGCAGACTTCTACCAGAAAAACGCAGCAACCATAGTTGGGAGGAATCCAAAACACAGATAACCTCTGTTAAGAATGCATGCTTTGCTTCCAGCAACTTTGCCAGGCGCACTTTGTCCTTTTAACCAGTCCTCCCAGCTGCAGCCCATGAAGGGGATCAGGGCCAATTCCTCCCCCGTAGACCACACCACTCACGTTTCTCCCTTATCCGCTCCTCCCTGCGTGCCCTAGGATGAAGTGGAGATGGGCCTGGGTCTTCCTCTGACTACCCAGCCAGCCTGTGCCCATCCACAGTTTCCTCCACAACCACCGGAGCCACACTCCCACTCCCTGTCAGCTGTTCAATCTCTCCCTCGGAGTCAGATTCCAACAGGAGCATGACATGGATAGAATAACAGAGTTGGAAGGGACCTGGGAGGTCTTCAAGCCCAACCCCCTGCTCAGGCAGGAAACCCTATACTTGTGATGGCGAACCTATGGCATGCGAGCCGTCACCTCAGGGTAGTTCCACTGCGCATGTGCTCATGCCTCCCGCCAGCCAGCTGATTGTTGGGTATCTGCCGCACATGCATGGGGGGAGGGCGCATGCAGGAGACATGTGCACATGCGCAGGGGAAGGGGTGGGATTCAAAAATGTTAACAAACTGTTCTGTGGGCGTGGCTTAGTTGGTGGGCGTGGCTTGGTGGTCATGTTATTGGCTGGGCATGGCCAACTCAATATCAGTCACATCGAGGCACGCATCTCCTTGCCTGGCCTCTCACGACTGTGGGGATGCTGCAACAGTCGTAAGTGTGAAAAATGGTCATGTCACTTTTTTCAGTGCCATTGTAACTTTGAATGGTCACTCCACACAAGCAAAGTACCAGCAAAGGAGGGGACAAAAAAACTCCAGAGAAGCTCCAGAGACAGGAAGTCTAGTCCTGCCAAGAATGTAATAAGGGTTAACAGAGAGGCAGTTTCTGTCAGCAACACCAGAATGTTTCCTTCCTGCCTTCCTTACGGGATTAGGCCAGTAATTTCTTCTAACAACCGGTTCTCCAAACTGCTTAGAATGTTAACCGGTTCTAGCGAATAGGTGCGAACCTGTAGAATCCCACCCCTGGGCAGGGGGGGGTCACATGTGCATGCGCAGGGGGGGCATGCGCATGGGTAAGGAAGCACGGGATCGCACACATGTGTAGGGGAGCGGGGAAGCACAAGGGTGGAGTTCACGCATGCACAGAGAGGGCGGGGGAGTGCATGCGTGCATCGCATTATGGGTGCAGCCACGGATGCATGCACTTTCGCCCCGCAGCGACGAAAAGGTTAGCCATCACTGCCCTGTACAATTTCAGACAAACGGTTTTCCAATCTCTTCTTTAAAAACTGCCACTGTTTTGATTATGTGACCTTGGAGGATGGCTTGCAACAGTCATAAGTGTGAGAAATAAGTGACTATTTTCAGCATCATTGTAACCAGGGGTGGGATTCTAAAATTCCAGCAACCGATTCGCTGCGCAGTTGCTGAGTGGACGTGGTGGGTGTGTCCTACCCGGACTTCCGGGAGGGCAGTTTTTCACCTTCCCCAGGGTCCGGAGGCTTCCCTTGGGCCTCTGGGAGGACAAAAATGGCCCCTCCCTTAAGAGATCAAAGCCAGCTGAGAAACCGGAGTTCTTTGCAGGAAGCAAAGAAGTTTTTGCACTCAAGCCTTGCGGACGTTCAGACTCTCTTCAGTTTGTGTTTGGAGACTCTTAGTGCTTGAAATATTTCTTGGCAACTTTATCTAGCGTTCTTGGCAGCCTTGCACAACCTTGGCAAGGCTCGTTCTTATCAGAGACAATTAGTCTGAAACAGCCTTTTAACCGGGAAGGAACGGAATTTGTAAAGAATCATTAAAAGGTTTTGCTGTTTCCTCTGTTTTGTGTTTGTTTCCTTGGAACAAGGTTTGGGTCAGAACAACGGCCTCCCCTGGGCTCCGGAAGCTGGAAACAGGCCCATTTTGCGACTTGCGGTATTTCCGGGAGGGCCGTTTTTTCCCCCTCCCAGAGCCTCCACGCGGACCCTGTACTTACCTGCATCAAAAATGGGCTGCGTGGATACACCTGGGATGGGAGGCGAGGAATGGACGGGGCCAGCTGGTCAGTTTAAATACCGGTTTGGGGAATCCGATGCAAATTTAACATCCGGTTCGCCCAAACCGGTCCGAACCAGTAGAATCCCACCCCCTGAGAGTAACTTTGAATGGTCACTAAATGAACTGTTGTAAGTCAAGGACTACCTGAATACAGTACAAATGCAGTAAGCTGGCAACTGAAAATGGCTGCATGACTATAGGCATAGCATTCCTTAATAGAAACCTTCCAAGTTAATTCTTAAAACTTCACCTGCCGCGATCCTGAGCTGGTCTGTTCCTGGCTCCGAAGGAAGTCTTCAACCAGGGCCACCGCCTGGGGACAGGTGTCTGGCCTCCTGGCTTGGATCCAGCTCCGCAGCTCCGGTGGGAGGCTGACCAAGAACTGCTCCAAGATCAGCAGCTCCAAGATCTGCTCCTTGGTGCGTCTCTCCGGCCTCAGCCATTGGCGACAAAGCTCCTGGAGTTGACTATGGATCCTCCGGGGATCTGCTACCTCCTGGCAGCAGAACTGCCGAAAATGCTGGCGTTGCATCTCCATCCTCAGGGCTTCCCCTCGCAAGATGGCCGCCTTGACTTTCCCATAATCCTCTTGGTCTCGGTCTTCCAGGGTTTGGAAGGCCTCTTCCGCTCCTCCGCTCAGAGCCGGCCGGAGACGGGCCGTCCATTCTCCTCCGGGCCACCGGCAGGCTGTGGCCACCTGCTCAAAGGAGACCAGGAAGGCCTTGGGGTCTTCCCAGGGGGAGGCCTCTGACATCATCACGGGGTTTCCACCACTTCCGGGATGGAGCATCCTCAGGAACTCCTGCCACTGGGCCTCCCAGCGCTGTTCTCTCGCTTTGTAAGATTCCCCTTTGTTCTTGTGGGATTCTGCCTGTCCTGGCTGCCTGATCCTGCCTTCCAACGTAAGAGGGGGGGTGACTTTTCCGGATCCTTCTGGTTCCACTTCCAATTTGGGTTCCACCAAAATGACCTCCTTCATTGCTTCCATTCCCAATGGAAGACTTCAGGGTGGACCTAACCCTCCAAGAAATGGAATAGAATAGAAAATAAGAATAAGAATAGAATTGAATTGAATAGAATAGAAAATTAGAATAGAATAGAATAGAAAATATGAATAAGAATAGAATAGAATTGAATAGAATAGAAAATTAGAATAGAATAGAAAATAAGAATAAGAATAGAATAGAATTGAATAGAATAGAAAATTAGAATAGAATAGAATAGAAAATATGAATAAGAATAGAATAGAAGAATAGAAAATTAGAATAGAATAGAAAAGGAAATTAGAATAGAATAGAAAATTAGAATAGAATAGAAAATAAGAATACGAATAGAATAGAATAGAATAGAATAGAATAGAATAGAATAGAATAGAAAAGAAAATAAGAATGCTAATGAATAGAATAGAATAGAAAAGAATAGAATAGAAAATAAGAATAGAATAGAAAATTAGAATAGAAGAATAAGAATAGAATACAGAATAGAATAGAATAGAATAGAATACAGAATAGAATAGAAAATATAGCATAGCATAGCATAGCACAGCATAGAATAGAAAATATAGAATAGAATAGAAAATATAGAATAGCATAGAACAGAATAGAAAATTAGAATAAGAACAGAATAGAATAGAAAAGAATAGAATAGAAAATAAGAATAGAATAGGATAGAAAATTAGAATAGAATAGAAGAATAAGAATACAACAGAAGAATAAGAATAGAATAGAATAGAATAGAATAGAATAGAATAGAATAGAATTCTTTATTGGCCAAGTATGATTGGACACACAAGGAATTTGTCTTTGCTGCATATGCTCTCAGTATACATAAGAAAAAAAAATAGATTAATCAAGAATCATACGATATAACACTTAGTGATAGTCATAGATCGCTAATAAGCGATCAAATCATACTAGGAAACAAAGGTGCACAATTGTCCATTCACAATTTTGTGGGATTTTAATCTCTCAGCCCAAGGAGCCATCGTATAGGTAATCCTCGTTTTACGGCCACAATTGAGCCCCCAAATTTAGGTCGCTAAGTGAGAAATTTATAAAGTGAGCCCCCCCCCTTGTGACTTTTATTGCCGCGTTTGTGAAGGGAATCGCTGCCATTGTTAAATTGGTCACGCGGCTGTTAAGCGAATCTGGTTCCCCCTTTGCCTTGGCTTGTCCCCAGGTCGTAAAAGGGGATCCCCTGACCCTGGGACACTGCAACCGTCATAAATAAGAGTCACTTGTCAAGCATCTGAATGTAAATCACATTCAAAGGTGCCTGAACACTTTCGTAAGTGTGAAAAAACGGCCATAAGTCACATTTTTCAGTGCTTCCTGCTGTAACTTTGGACGGTCACTAAGTGAACTCTTGTAAATCGAGGACCATCTGTGATCTAGGGGGTGACAGTATTAGGCACGGCAGAGATCCAGAAATCTCCCCACTGGATCACTGAAGATCCCCTAAAGAACTTGGCCGTCAGCTACTTCAGAAACATGAATTTGCCGTGTCTGTGAAAAAATGGTCATAATAACTCCCTTGCCTTGTAACGTTCAACTGTCACTAAATGAACTGCCGCAAATCGAGGATGACCCTTACTGTAGTTTTTATTTCTCCCAGAAGGTCTCTCAACTTTCCCAGCCATCTAAATCAGGTCTCCCATCCAAATCCAAACCCACCTGGGGTCCTGCTTAGCTTTACCGACAGAGCTACTACCCACTCGCCACACTCAGCCTGGCAAGCCCAGAGGGAAAAACTGGACCACCCCGCCCATATTGGGAGAGAGGGCAGACAGGCTCCAACCACCCCCCACCACCCACCCCCGAGCCCATCATCATCATCCCCGTAGGCCGATCGGCCCTCGGCCGTGGCTTATGGGCAGAGTGACCCGGTCCCAAATGTCCAACCGGAAGCTGGCAGGGGGGCTGGAACGCACCTGGTGCCCGGTGACCAGCAGTGGCCCGCGGGCACAAGAGGGCTCCGGTTAAGCCCAACCCCGAGCGATGGAGATCAGCCGGCGGCGGTTCAGGGCTGGCCGGGGAGGACGATCGCCGGACGCCTCGGAAGTCTCCTGCAAGGGGTGGGGGGGGGGAAGGATTGTGGGAGGCATCCGCTGCTCGCCTCCCTTCTCGGGGCGGGTCGCGATGCTTCGCTTCGGCCTTGTTTTACTCGGGTTCCGGGGCGGACCCGCCGAGGCCTTTTTTTGTGGTTTTGTTTTCCTGCCCGTGGTTGGCTCGCCCCCCCCCCTGGGCGCCGCCGGCCCGTGGAGCCTCGGATCGGGCTGGATAGGGCTGGATCCCGCCGGCTTTCCCGGCGCCGGGTCGTTGCACTCCAGGAGTTCATCCCGTGCCCGAGGGATGCAATCCGAGGGGGTACAATCCAGATCAAGGGAGGTTACTCATACCACTCTGTCAAGCCTTAGGAAGACCACACCTAGAGTACAAGCGTCCAGTTTTTGGTCACCACATCAATCAAGATGTCGACTCGCAGTGGTGGGATTCAAAAAAAAATTTTTTAGTGCCGCTTCCTCCCTCCCCACCCCACTAACCTGCTTTCCAGCTCCTTTCTCCTGTGCAGGGCAACCAAAGAAGACCCAGCCGACTGGGGAGGCAGAGAATAGATGGGGGCGGGGCCAGTCAGAGGTGGGATTTACTGGTT